TTTTGAAAAAACTATCAGTGGCTTGGACTTCCCTCGCTGATCTCTGTGGGGATAGTGCCAACCATGACAACGGCCTGGGATCACTTAAAATTATGCTCATTTCCAAACTTAAGATGTGTTAGGGGTACATTTGAGACTTATTCAACCACAGTGCAATCTGTGAATCTCCACTAAGAAGCAGACTACTAATTGCCTTGCTCATGCATTCAGTATATATTTTCTAAGCATACATTTAACTCCCCACCACCGCTCACCTGTGCTTACGAAGATTAATAATCACTTTGCAAAAAATGTAACAATGCCTACAGTCCTCCAACTGCCATGTCTCAACCAAGTTGACAACACATTCTGCTAAACTTACTTTCCCACAATGACTCATCCAGAGAAAGATGATTTCACGCTAACTTTTATTTTCTCCAAGCAGTGTAGGTGGAAAGCGGGAAAAAAAGCAAACTTTGTTTCATGGTGGAAAACCCACTGGTTTGGCACCCATGAGGAGAACATAATTTTCTTCTTTATTCTAAGAAATATCAGTTCCCTTCTTCCTCTTTAACTCCCTAAATTACCATCTACAAACTATTACCTAGAAATGCTACATTGGATTATGTACACACTTCAATTTAAGTATGCTAACCATTAGCGATGTTCTAAGACAGCTGCCTCATACTGTCGGGAATGTGATTACACACAATTGGGTGTTTAATCTCTTATTAGAATCTTAGAGAAGTGAAGTGGGGGTTCGGGCTTGTGGAGCAGAATTTAAACCTGCTGGAGGCTGCTAGCACTAAAAAGGGAATTGGCTACCTGTCAATTTCCTTATTGCATTAAATTAAAAAAATTCTTACCCCCATTTGATCATCACACATTGTGTATACATGTACTGAAATATAACTCTGTGCCCCACAAATATGTATAATCAGTACATTTCAATAAAAAAAAAAGCATTCTTTAAGAGGAATTGATTCTTAAGTACAGAATTAAGGCAGTGATCTAATTTGCATGGAACCAGACTTGTTTGCAGTTTTGAATGACAGTTCCCTAAACTGTAAGGTTTGGATACATAAACCTTGAGCCCAAACATCTCTTTGTTAGCACAGAATAGAGTTAAACGATCTTAATTACATGAAGCAGAGAATCAAGGCAATTATCCAATTATTCAAACCCAGAAAAAAACTTTGGCTGGTATTATCCAGGAAGTGCCCCAATTTTCTATTAAAACTCTAAAAGCCCAAGTCTGACAAAAGTCTTTCCTTTTAGGGCCAGCCTGATGGTGCACTGGGTAAGTGCGCTGCTTGGGAAGCGCGGCGGCGCTCCCGCCCGAGGGTTCGGATCC